CGATCCTGACACAGTCAGAAATAAATACAGAAATAAATAAATGCTCAATAAATAAATAAGCATCCAATTAAATACACAAAAAAATAAAGTAAATAAATAAATGTAGGTAGTTATTAAATTATACAAGGAGACATAAATGTATATATTTTAATTAGTGCCTTTACTATTCACCTTTGTTATATTACCTTATTTGTTTATTCAACTTTATTTATTACTAATTTTTTAATGTATTTATTTATGTGTGTGTTTTAATATTTTTGTCTGTTTTATTCTTCCTTTGTATTTATTTACCTTATTTATTTTCACCCATGGTATTTATTTCTGCCTGTCTTTTTTAAATTTTTGTATGCATTTCTGCCTCATTATGCAAATGAGGAGGGGCTGTGTCTCAAGGGGTCATCTTCTCTGCTATTGGTGGACCAGTCAGACAGGAGAGCTCCTACTCTGCCTGCAGACATCAACGATCTTGCCCCTCACACAGTCAGATGGCTTCCTTCAGTGCGCTGAGGTGTTTAACAACTCTGAAGACAATACTACCAGCAATGTCTTCCTTCTCTTTTCACGTAGACGCTCCGACAGACAGTGCTTTCAGTTTGCTGCATGCATGGACACAGAACTGCGGTATAGGGAGAAGCACACGGTCAGCTGGCTGCAGCTAAATCTGGAGTGCACTCGTATTCAATTCTGTATGGTAAATTCAGTTTTAACGGAGCAGAGCGAGCTGACAGGCAGAGTTAGAGACTTTTTCTGTCTGTTTCTCTCTTTACAAAGACGCATGTTGCAGTCAGAGTCTTCTCTGAAGAGGGCAATGAAGTCTCAGTAGTACCCGATGCGAGCACCACATACAACACAATTTATCAAATTACACAACGGATATACAGTATGAAAATAAGATTGATTGGATTATACTCACAGGAAGTATAAAACCTGTTACATGCGTAACACAGTAATGTCAGGGAAATTACTTTACTTAGATTTAAGTACTGCAGTTGTACATTTGAAATACCTTCCTACCTTTCTGATAGGAAGCCTTCTTGAGGTGGTATAAAACATTTCTTCTTATATTCTGATTTGAGTTGTGGACAACTATGACCACATGAATTAAAAAAATTAAACATTTCACTGCCCAAGTCAGCTATAACACAAGTCTTGTTCATTAGACTACATGCTGTACAGTATTTGTGGACAGATTTTGTCCCAGGATTTATTATGCATTTCTTCTTCTTCGTTGCATGGTTTAGAATAATAAGGTGAGAAATGGGTCTATTCTGAGTTCATCCTGCACTGCAGCAGCTAAAAAAGTCCATTTAATCCCAAAAACGCTTTTCTTTTAGGCAGGCTGGAGCAGAAACACAGTAACGATGAAATGTGTGCTGTTCTCACATTCTCCCTCTGTATGTACACATAAACAACAAGGCAGGGAAATATAAAAGGAATTTATTTTATTGTTTGTGTACATTATTGTTCAGTGTACATGGTCACATCTGAAACAAACTTTACGTGCTTGATAACTCTCCCACCCCGCAGACATCTACACGCCAATACCGATTTATATTCATAGCGGCAAGTGCTATGTAGCGCCACATAGGGGACACAGGAAGTGACATATAGCACCTTCATGCGGCGTCGGAACCGCGTAGGAAATTCACAGCCGCACCGGCAGAGCTCCAGAATATGCAAGTCGGCCGGTTCACGCGCGGACGCGCTACAAGTGCGAGGGCCCGCCCAACGCTGCTTGCAGCTTTAATGTTATTATTGTTATTATAATCATTAACATTACGATGGTTACCATTAACACTATTATAAATATCTGTACCATTTTTCATTTAGTCTATAGCAACATTACCTTCACTGTCTGTACCTCTGTGTGTATATTGTGTAGGCTGCCTCCCTCCCCTCTCTCTCTCCTTACATCTCTCTCTCCTTACATCTCTCTCTCTCTCTCTCTCTCTCTCTCTCTCTCTCTCTCACACCCCAACCGGTCGAGGCAGATGGCCGCCCACCCTGAGCCATGGTGCCTCTTAAAAGGAAGTTTTTCCTTGCCTCTGTCGCCTAGTGCTTGCTCTTGGTGGGAACTGTTGGGCTTCTGTAAATAACATCACAGAGTACGGTCTAGACCTGCTCTTTTATGAAAAGCGCTGTGAGATAACTGTTGTTGTGATTTGGCGCTATATAAATAAAATTGAATTGAATTGAATTGAATTAATGGGACCAGAAAGACACCAATCAGTGTGTCCAGTTCTGTTTGGACCACCTCTACTCAATGCTGTTTCGGCCTTCAGTCTTCACTTTTGTCACTTTTCTTTGCACAGATGACATCCCTCCCATGACTGCAACAACAAAATAATTTAATATGAGCACACAGGTGAATCTACTGTGTGTCAATTAGTGGAGAGAGAACACTTTTCTGTCTGAGCCATATACACTTTGTGGTTTGTGTTTTTACATCAAAATCTGCAGCCTAACAAGCTCACCATTTCTACATTGTGACTGTGGTTTTCTTTGTTTCCCTCTCTCTGTTCTACTTGCCTTCCTGTTGTCTCTATCTTTATTCTCATCTGCATTCTCTCTCTCTCACACTTTCTCTCTGTGTCTAGCTCAGCTCTTATTTTCCTCTCTGCAGTGCACACTTTTCTAGAACACCTTTCCCCCCCCGGCTCTCAGGCAACTAAATATAGTGACTGGTGCAGACAGCTCGGCCTTATAACAAATGTTAAGCAGACCAAAGCAGAGCAGTGGTGGTGGTAGCATGAGCATAATGATGTACTGTAACTCAACTTCAACAGACAATGAACTATATGCAAACAATGAAGATAAACAAAAATTCACACCTAATAACAGGACAGGTTTATATGGGTATATTATTAACCAAGGCTATGCAAGTACATTTCAAATTAACAATTATATCCCCCGTAACTCTAAAAGCTAAGGCATAAATGATACATTGCACTATAGGATATGCATCACCATCACCACAACCCATGTCCTCCCAAGTGCCAACCTTATCATTATTGTTAGTGGTGCTATTAATAATATGTTGTATCATGGTATACGGCAGTTATATCACAATGTTGATACATGTCATGATACGCAAAATGTTCCTGATACTCAATAGGGAAAATATATAGATAGAATAATGACACTGGGTCCAGTAAATTCAATACATTTATTATCTCACAGATTATAGGGTCCATAGGAAAGATCTCAGTCTGAAGTTTTGTGCTATAACAACATGGCAGACAAGCAGCACTGCCTAAAACTGAGACCTCCCAAGACAAAGGACAGCATCAGTCGCGGTTTGAAAAGGTTTTTGAAAGCACAGACAAATGATTTTGCGGAATTTGTCACTCATCAGATAAAAACATGGACAAATAACATATTTCGTCCTTTCATTTGGAGCAGTACACATTTTTTAGGATGTTTATGTGGTACCTGAAACCCTGGGTTACAAATGGCTGTATCAAAGGCAACTGCATCTGTGATTGAGGGTGTGGGAGAATCAGAAGTAGTGTGTAGACAGGGATGCTGTTTTCATGCAAAAATGTTCTAAAAGCTCTCAGCTCATGCCAAACTCTAGTGATGACATTTGTTCAAATGTTACCACTGAGCTTTCTGTTCAGCTGACAGCATTGTTAACCTGCTGTTTCTTCCCATATAGCCTTCCATTTTGCAGAAAGAAGTGTGTGACAGCTGTTCTGAAGCATATTTGATGGTTTCTTCAACCAACATTTCAAGCTTGGTAGCTGAAGACTCTCATTTTCACACTGACATCAGATGCTGGGCTGTATAATAAGCATCTTGCGCTTGTTATACAGCCCAGCATCTGATTTCAGTACAGGAGTGCATTCAAATGAATTCAACAGAATATTTGCCCATTTACATCATCTGCATTTGTAAATATCCCACTATGTTGATCTACAATTTTGCAGCTCTGACTCAGGCTTAGTAAATCTGCCCTGGAAGATGAACTTTTGCTTGCAGCCACCTGCAGCATTACAAGCGTTTTACACATCTGAGACTTCATAAAGAGAAATAGAGGTTCAGAGTTTTTATTCCTAACCAATTTACAGCCACCATTTCCACAGAAAGCAGTGGCTCAACCTGAACAGAAGAAAGGCAATGCTCTCCGAAAATGGTGGGGACCTTTTTAATAAATATAGAGGAGCTGAAATTTCAAAACTCTTTCCCTCAAAATGTTTGATGTTAGCCTTCTCTCATAGTCAGACATTTTCTTGGGCAACAGACATTCAAAATCCAAAATTCTTCATGTCTTAGAGACGGGAACTCAATCAAATGCACAGCACTGTGGTGTAGATACCAGCTCAGATTATAACAGATCAATCTTTCCAGCATGGAATTATACTGCACAATGACTTAAGTAAATAAATATGCTACAAATATAAAAGTCTTCGTTTGCATGTGCTTATCTTGTGCTGTGTGGGTCATCCAAGGCTGCATTTGAATACAACCATTTGAAATAAAAAGAAGAATGCAGACAAATGCAAACTACCACCTACGCTGCCATTAGCAGCTGATTGGCACTGGGAGAACAAAACTCATGATAGCTGGAGGCGGGAAACACCACAAGCCAAGTATACAATCAACAATGAGAATGGTGTATTAAACATATCTGCACAAGTGTGCATGTCAGTGTGAGTGGATCAACCTACTTGATTAGCTTCAATATACATTTGCCCTACAAGAATGATATCAGAAACCCACCATAACATACAGACCCTGAGTGATACCAGTGTCATTAAAGGCATCAAATATTGAAAATGGAATCATAAAAAGCTTAAGAAGGTTTTAACTAGCCACCCCTGCATGTTCATCCAAATAACAACAGAAATGTCCACCTTAGGTTTCCCTCACACAAAGACCAGCCAGTTGGTAAACAATGAAACCTAATTGGTCATTACATCAATCACTAAATCAATAACTCACTTTCCGACTCAGTCAGCCTTCTACAAACTAATTTAAGCACCAGGTTGTGGACTCACCCAGAACTCCAAGCCGGTAGTTGATTGTGATGACAATGACGTTTCCATAGCTGGCCAGGATGCTGCCATCAATCATGTTGCCGGTTCCCTCCATGTAGGAGCCTCCATGGATGTAAACCATGACTGGCTTTAACCCGTTCTCATCATGGATGTCTGCAAAGAAGAATGATCAAATAAAAAGATGTTGCTATGTATCTAGCAAGCATTTGAAGGAAGACCACATGCAAGATGTGGCTGAATTATGTGCAGTTGAAACTTTGATGTCTTGTGAAAGAATATTACCTCTGGAAAATGATGGATAACTTTGGTGCTATATTTACTCTAGATTCAATATGATCATTCAGTGCTGAATTGTTTGTTGGCAGGTTTACAACAGACATCTGGTAGAGCCCACTTTTTACATATCTGAGGTCATTTCTCAAATATAGTTCGAGCTACTTTTACTTTAGTATTTTAATTTTGAATTACATGATAAAATAAGGAATGGTGAAAAAAAAAAAGAAAATCCCATGCAGAGTGGCATGAAGTGCGTGAGCTTACTGTGAGCTGAGATCAATAACTGATCTTGCGGCATTTTTCTTTGTAAATGCAAAAGGTGGTTCTAACTTTGTGCAGCCGGAGAAAAGCAACTGCGGCCGGTGGACTCGGCGTCTGCAGCTGCCTTGCTCCCGCTAAGTTTTAATGTCAAGTGACATGGTGACGTTTTGCAGCTTAGTGTGGTATGGTCATTAGCCATAGTTAGTTCTTTAAATATTTAACTCAACATTATACTTCCATGCTATGGTCCTGGGGAGAGTCTGGAGACCACAGGCCATTTTTGCCCCTTAGTCCCCTAGTGAGGCTCTGCATATAGATATCTAATAGATCCATAAAAAGCATGACAATAGAATTGTGGATACTATACATCACATACACATCATTATAACTAAACCCAGTGAGAGGATAACAGAAGTTACAGACAAAAGAAGTGCAAATTGCAGTTGATGCTGAGTGGGTAGGGGGTTTTAAACCTGATGTCACGGTATTGTACCAGTAGTAGGAAAAACTGTGTGATAAATGAGTACTTCCTTACATTTACAGGTTTTCTTGATTACTTTAAAAACATTCTTGAAATTATGCTTCTTTTTTTTTTAATCTTGCTGAAAAACCAAACTTTGCCTTCAGACATGATACACAGTCCCTCAAGAACACAACACTATAACACAGTCTTACACACTGGTGAGATAAATTCAAAACACTACTACAAAAACTGGTTATAAGTAATGTTGCTTGTGGTTTTCCCCCTCAAATGCCTTTTCACATGATGAACACAACAAAAGAAACAATAAATGTAAACATTTGCACATGTACTTTACAGTACAACACACCAAACAATAAATTAATTTGCCTCAGCAACCTGTCTGGAACAGGCCAGAGATTTTTGTCCTCCTCCTCTTCTCCCTACTCCTCCTCCAACTCCTACTGTTCCTCTTCCTTCACCTCTTCCTCCTCTCTCTACTGCTCCTCTCCCTCCTTTCTGGTGTCCTCTACCTCTTCCTTCACATCTCTCTGGATCCATTGTTCCAAAACTGAATGAAATGACTCACTGACTCGGCCCTTTTATCTATCTATTGAAGCTTCTGATTAGTGTGTTATTCAGTTATGACTAGTTGTGTTTCCACCTAGTTTTGTGCTAACTGAGCTCAAGCTGTGCTTACTTGAGTGAACAATACTGAATGTTAGTGCTTTCTAAATGACTACATGGCATAGGCATGAGAAATGAAGGGATTTGTGTGTAGAGTTTAGGGAAATGGGTGTACTTTTTGAAAAATGGAGTTATGGTTTTGAAATTGTAGTTTAAAAGCCTGTTCATAGTGTTTAAGCAATTGAGAAATAATGTAATACCTATTCAATTAAACCCCTTACTCCGTGCTTCCTTCAAACAGCTTTTAATTTCATTTTCTGATGTTAAAATGTGAATGTTGTCATAAAATAACATGTTTTTAATGTTTTTCAGACCTCAGGTTTATAAGAGAGTTTGGTTTGTTGATGCTGTTGTTGTTTTTGTTTTTTTTCCAAACGGTATGCAGCTAATAGCTGGTAATGTTGTGTTTGGGTTAATGGTGCACTGTTGTAGCACTGATACTATGAAAACATGCAGACACAAGTTTATGTTAACTTACTCCCACAGTGCATTAGTGTATTTGTGATATATCCCAAAATTGTGCAATCATTTTGTGTTTATTTAATTTAAATAGCGGAGCAGTCGTTTTTTTCAAAACCTCAGGGTTTATCCATCCATCCATCCATCCATCGTCAACTGCTTATCTTGCGTACAGAGTCGCAGGGGACTGGAGCCAATCCCAGCTTACATTGGGCGAAAGGCGGGGTACACCCTGGACAGGTCGCCAGTCCATCGCAGGCCTCAGGGTTTAATATTATTAGAAATACTGTGAATGACAATCACATTATTTTATTTTCATGTATAAATGGTGAACTCAACTGATAAATGAAAGCAGCGCCCAGGCGGAACTTTCGTCACGGGAGCAGTTGCAGTTCCAAAAAAGTCCATTTGAAATATACTACAATTGAATTAAAAATTCTAAATTTAGTGTCTTTCATTAAAATGTCTTCCACCACTGTCTGAGGCTAAAGCCTTCAATATAAATAACAGTACCAGCTTGGAGTGAATCATGGCTATGCAGGAAACATGGATGACATCCATTCTTAATGTATAATCAACAAGCAAACACGACACAGCATCACTGTCTATACAACAGGGAAATTAATATGACCTTCTGTAATTTAATACTCATCATTCATCATTCATTTTTAGAGCACGTAAGGATAGATGGTGCTGGAGATATGGTTTGACATACTGCAGAAGACTCTGATAAGGATTTCTACTGCTTTAACCCTGTAATCTGTACATGTGTTTGCCTGCTCCATTTGTTCTGTGTAATGTGCAGGGAACAGTGCAAGTAGACCTGACGCATAGCTTGTTTATGAGACTCTCCAGTTGTGATGAAGATAAAGAAAGTGATTAGTACATGATTATAAATTAAGAGTGGGTCTTTTGCATTTAAGAAGATGGAAGGAGAAGCTATGGATCCTCCCAACAGGTAGGGTGCACAATAAATGACCCAGCATCATCAGGAGCCCTCAGCTGATTCTCAAGTCGTCTGGGTGCACTCTACTTAAAAGAAACTTACATGCAGAAATAGTATTTGTGGATATATGTTTTTATTTCATTCCTTTTAACCCAAGGAAAAAAATAAAAATTTTAATTTAATAAATGTTTTTGCTTAATAACTAATAGCTTCCACTGTGCAGTGTTATTTCTATCACTGATAAGCTACTATCCGTGAAACTCAACACTTCCAGCAAAGATGTTCACCATTAAAAGCCTGGCTCAAAAAACATAATTCCTCACGTTCCAGGCAGGATTAAGGTGAGGGTAAGGTGTAGGTCAGGCGTTGGCAAATAAGACTGGCATCGGGCCAAATTTTTTTCAAGTCATAGATGGCGGGCTAGAACATCATCAATTGACCATTTAAATTCCAACATTTACTGCGTGTGTGATAAGCTCAGTTAGTAGTGCACAGGACTCTTGTTTGTATTGTTGTGTGTTTCTCACTTGCTGTAAGTATTTTTTCTTCCCTATTCAACAAGATTGTGAAGACATCGTATTACATATCTCAATTAAGCATGTGCAGAATGTGTGTGCATCCCAGCGATTGGTCCACATCAACCTATGGACGCTTATTTTTGTGTCCCCAGTATCTCCAGGCTGAGGAAATTCCTGCTTTTCTCATTCAGAGGAATCCCCAATCTCACGTTTTTTGACTTTTGCTTTTTCAGAAGTGTGTCAAGCAAGCCAGAGACTCTTTTGAATTTCCTTCAGAACTTTTCAAAGTAAAAGCTCTCAATTAAACATGACATAAAGTACTGCTGCAAAAATGTTCTTGCACTTTTATTTTGTAAGCACTATCACTTAAGAGGAAGTGATTATGTGACAACTTTTGCTGTCATGACTGAGATCTGTTTCAGCACCAGCCGCTATAATTTTTTTCCACTATCAAAGTAATCTAGCCACGGGCCAGAGATTATTTCTGGCAGGCCAGACTTTTGCCAACCACTGGTGTATGTAATCCAAGGCTTTTAATGCTCCTTGGAAATATAGCAGAGTAGAAATATTTTTCTGACCATCATCAAGCAACTATGACTGAAACACAACACATCCCAGAAATGTTTCAAATGAAGATCCTTGGGTAAGGGTAACTATAATCCTAAGAGAATCTTTGAGAAGCTCTAACCCTATCCATGCAAGTAAATGGGTTATGCCCATTGAGTTTTTTTTATATTAAACAACAGTGCTGAGCTTCATAGACAGTAGCTCAACCATGCTCAACAAACAACAAAATGGAAGCAACTGGAAATATGGAATGAATGAAAGCGACTGAACTTCTGTTAAAAAAAAGAGAAACCCGGAGGTGAGTATGACGCGACATGACAGTATTAGTGCTGTGGAATCATTCTAACTTGCCTCAATCGTTTTTACGTAGCGTGTATTAGTCACCGGCCTTTATTTGGCCTATTATTTGACTCAAACATTATTTGAACACTAGCTTATAAATGTAGTGTATGGTCAGGAACATGAATGTCATTTGAAATCACCTCTGCCATTTTAAGGATGAGTCAATAAGTTCCTGTTTGTCATTCTGTTCCACATTATGAGACAACGGTGTGGGCGGCAGAAACAACCTTGAAGAGGCAGATGCACATAAAACAAGAGTGCTGCCATTAAGTTGTCATAGTCTCTAACTGATACGCATCTGATGGTCACTGCAGGCATCTGTGGGCTCAGACAAAACTATTCGACTGGCTCTCCATCAAACAAACAGGCAAATTGACTGTTACTACCCATCTCTTTTGTTGTAGTGCAGCGGCTGGATTAAGAAGTCAGGAGGGAGGGAGTGTCCACTCAGGGCACTTTGATCCAACAGAGAGATGCATTGCAGATTTAGAGCTGTTTTTTATGGCTGGGGAAGGAGAAGGTGGTCTCGGGGCACTGTGTCCCAATCCTGTCATTGTAGAATGCACTTAAAACTAAAGAAATAAAACTGCTTCAAGTGCTCTTCTCTTTCTCTCTCTCTCTCTCTCTCTTAGTGTGC